GCATAAATGTTTCAAGACCTGTGAAAGCGATAATGTCTCAGTTAGGTCACTCGGGTTGAGAATAAAGTAAGCAGTTCTGATGTTTTCTTCTAGTGGCTGTTGAATAAGTTCAGTTTTAAACAGTTCAAGAGATACTATATAGGGATGTAAAAAAATTCTCTGAAAAATTAAACCAACACCGAGTTGTGTACTGAAGTAAATAAAAATGTACCATTTGTTATAATTCCTAAAAAGATACAAGTGATGTGATTTCGTTAACGTTTGATGCACGTTAAAGAATATCTTATTTTATAGAGGTATTTCCAATTAGAAATTATATACCCATAATGTATCACGAAGGTTCAAGAACAGAGGAACAGATGGGTGGAACACTGAGTGTAAAAAACAATAGAAATATTCAATATTACTCTAACTTTCATGTTTATTATGATAGTGAAATACATTATAACACAACACAAATCATCTACTGTGCTGGGGAGTGGTTTTTATTTTAAAGATCAGTGATCGAAACATTGCAATTTCAGATGTTTGAAATTGAATGTATAAATATCTTAGACACAACTACAAAGGTAATATCGTGTGTCATCTTTACTGTATTAATCGGGAACAGTCTAAATTGATAGTGACATAAAGACGACAGAAAAGTAATTCAACACTGTGTTAGGTTTTATCACTGACGTAGTAGTCTGTAAACATTTATTTCGGTGCTCATGAACACTTCTTCAATCTAACGGTAGTTTTGTTCAATATCTTATATGAAGTAGATAATTGTTAAAAACCGCTAGGCCAGTTTGTGGATAGGTGTTCCATTTTGCATCAAACTTATTAACAGTGCACATTAGTTACAACACTCATTGTTAACCTCATTATGACGGACCATCGCTCAATGCCATCAGTGAACATTGACTTGGTTGAATTCACAGTTTGCTTACAAATATTCTAAATCAACTCACTAGTGATATAAGTAGGTGTCTTCGAAGCATTACTTGTATATCCTGGGACCCCCGAGTAAGTGATGCAGTTGTTAGGGAACGGGTACTAGGTAAGGATGGCAAATCGATTGGTGAAGTAGTGAAACTTGATCAGTTGAGATGGCTGGGACATGTGTTACGTATGCCCAACCACCGACAAACAATGTTTTATGGTGTAGGAGTAGGTTGGAAGAAAGGTAGGGGCGGCCAGACCGAAACGTGGCACAAATCCATGAAGTCACTGACTAATGGACTGAGCCATGTTGGTAGGTGTAGACTACCTGGTTGGCATCCGCGACATGATAACAACCGATGGTTAGAGACTTTGAATGAGATGGCTCAAAATCGTTTGCATTCGTCTGAATTCTTCATGTCTCTTCCTTTTTTCTCTCGCCAAATTGTACTTCTTGAATAACATCTTCAAACTGTAATCTTTGGGATTACTGCTTATCCTCTTACTACTTCTACCACTATGGGATTTGAATCGACAACTGCACCTCTGTGCTAATGTGGTATGGCAACTCGAACTGATGTACGTACGTACGAAGTTCTACGTTGTGATTGACTGACTGAGTGATATAAGTATGTTGAAGAGGACTACCACCAGTATGCGCGATTGCAAAAGGAAACAAAACTGTACAAGTTAATCGAATGTAATGTGGCTAGCTGTTAGCAAATTATTCTGTTAGTGTATTACTGTAGGATTTCAATACTCTAGTGTTTTAGTTACTAATGCAGTTTTTGTAGCATATTTTGTATTCACTTTCTGTCTTACATGCAGAACTATCCATGTCTTACCTTATTTACTTACCTTAATCACTACAGTCACTTATAGTTATTGAGGTTTGCTGTTATTTTATAAATACTGTCATTATGCCACGCCTTTAACAGTCTATTTGACCAGTTGCTAAGCAGCGTTGTTTTTGCTAGTGTACTAGCTGTTTAATAGAATGGCAAATGATGTATGAGTATGATATATTATACCGCAGTTGAAAATTTTTTTAGGTGACCATAATTATTGTGAAGATAAAGTGTCTTTATTTTTGTATAATTTTGGCGGGAGGATAGTTTAAATATTCTTTCATAATGAATCACAAGATAGTGTTGTTTCCATTGTAGATGATTTTTTCCAATCAATAAAAATTAATACTGGTCATGAAAATAAGTGTGTCACTAAATTGGACTGAGTCCGTGTACACTGATCTTAGAAATTATCCTTTTTGCATAAAAGAATGAAACACCATCAGGTTCTCGATACTGAATTGAGCAAATAATGAATTAAACCTATTACTTTAAATTTAATTGTATAAATCACTTAATCAGGCATGTTATGTTTGGTTAAACTACATGCTACTAAGCCATTCAACTTTCTTAAAATGAGATAGTCTGGATTAAAATTTCAAGTGAGTCGTATTTGTATTTCAGTAACATGAGGACATTTGGAATATGCATACCCACCAACTACCCTAGCTAGCAAACATCGTGTTGTAAGAGTAAGAGATAATAGACTATTGTGCCTAAGTTCCAGTTCAAATATGTGAACGGCTTGATAAATAACCTCACTTTTTTTGTAACCACATTTGAATGTTTTTTTAAAGCTTTACCAATACGTAAGTATCGAATATCATAGAAGAAATATTCTGTCAGATAATAAAAAAATCGGCTTGTAAGTTAATTTGATGAACATCTGAAGAGCAAAGTCCCAGAAACAATTCGTCTATTCATAGAACTGTACTACTGAAAATTTTCAACTAAATAGGAATTAAAAAGTTGGACCTATGAAGTTCAATTTAACTTTTATATTTCCGATTACGCTTGATAAACTGAATGGTAAAAACTCCAGTTGTTGATTATATTTTATATGATCTGAGTAATCTCATAGCATATAAATTCATCGATTTACATTATGGTGATATTGTTGTTCTGATAGACGACAACTTATTACACTTCATTTAATAATCACCTTTCATTTATTTTATTTAAACACATAAATATTGGCACCAAATATATATGCTCCAACACTATATCATTCGATTTGTATGAGGCCTGGGATACTGCCTGAGTGACCAAACCGAAGCTGGTGAGTTACTTAGGGGGATACACCCCGAGCCTTTGACCTATAGGTCTAATCCACAAGGCAGTGGAGCAACGTTGGAAGATGCAGTCTCATGGTAACCGAAGACCAACAATAGGTTCATACGTCATTTGTTTCCTTAAGATCCTAATTAAGAACCTAATTAATGCTCCAGACATTCGCTTTTTGTCCTCTCAATTTCGTAGACAACAGACCCCAGCCTCTAGAAGACATTGAGTAGGACTTCCATGTCAGTGGCTGTATACGCGTGACCATGTGAGAGTATTTGGAGAGAGAAAGCGGACTCTTCCTACCCTCGTCCGTACCAGGGGATTTTAGGGCACAAGTGTCAGTTTCTAGGACTACAATTCTGTGTACTTTTGACGGTAAATGTTGTAACAAAATACAATTAGACTGACACTGACAAAAGTGAACAAAATAGACCCTATCACAAATGTGTATCGATACAAGTTCCCACACGTAAAATCAGTTTAGTTCAGGAAAAAAATGGTAAGAAGGAAAACAATCGTTTGAAGTAATGGCATTAGCAATATGGGTTATGACACGTTAAAGATTCGAAGGAAGAAAAAGTAATGGATGCATCCGCTCTCGTTCATTAACTATGTGTGTAGTATACAATTTCAATGTCACACAAATCAACGAAATAATTATTTTGTTTATCTAAAAGTGTGACCTTGACTTTATAGGTGGAATTAGTTAGTAAATTACATCCATGAACATGATTAAACTCGATTTGTAACTAAATATCTTTAAAACTAGATTATGAGCTTGAATTGGTTTATTTTTCTCAATTGATTCGTCTATCAAGCTTCGTATCCTATATAAATCTTTCAGAGGCTACACAAATCATTACATAACTTCGATTATCATTTGACAATTATGCCAGTTAGTTGGTCCGACATTTAACTCTTCTATTAGTTGAGATTATTTCTATCTGTTCTCACACTTGAGCGCTTAAAATACGTTTTCAAATCACTTAATAGTGAAAGGAAAACCTACGTGATAACTACTGTTGAATAACAGTGGTTTAAATGTTTTCCATAAAATCATACATACATTACGCCAATATGCATGAAACCTACATGAAGTCTAAGTCTGCATTTAACATATGAAACATACTATAGTTGTAACTTTACATATGCGTACTAATTTATTTACTGAAATATGAGCTATCCATCGTGCGAGGGTTACCTCGTTCCTTGGACCTGGTTGTATAGAGACTTTGGTTTGATTGATTTAAATAATATTCAGCTGTACCAGCAAATCTTAAAGCATGATGGGACCCAAAAAATTAAGAAGTTAATCATTTGATTGCAGATAATGACTTTCCTAATCTGCGGTTTAAGTATCCGGATAGCTTATAAATAAAAACATGTATATTAAAAAGAGCTTGTTGGTTAAGTTAGGCTTTTTTCTCATAAATTTAGTTATCCTTAGTTTTTTTAATCATAAGCCAATTAAGGAAATAGTATCAATTTATAAGTATAATGCATACTTGTCAAATGGCAACAATATTGTAGGCGCCAGTTCACAGTTGTCACTGACCAATTAAATATATAACATAAGAAGAAATGAAGCATTTAGAAATAAATATAAGTAAATAAACAGCAATGTACCTGTAAAGTTGCTGAAATTTCATGATTTATTCTAGGTCGGAAAACTGCAATAACTTCTACACATTCAGATATTATAAATGACAATAATAACATTATTATTATTATTATTATTGCTATTACTATCATTTTTGTTATGACAACAATTTATTTATTGTGCTTAGTTTATTTTGGAATAGGTATTTTGATTTTTAGTTTAAGTCCCTTCTAAGTTAATTTATCATTTGTCTGAAAGTGGAAAATTGTCATCATCTTACTTCTTAGTTGTCTATTAATTAATTAACTTATTAGTTATTATTATTTTCTGATCCTGCTTATTAGTGGTCATCTGGTGTTTCAATCCCAACTACTACTACTACCGCTACTACCACTAGTACGACAGTTCAAATGTCAAATTCATTTCGATTTTCCCCAATTCCATTTACTTCTATTTCAACTGGATCTACCATTTCTACATGCAATTCTGTTAATGAATTAATTCATCATTCTACGTCTGCATCTAATTCCGAGTTTACTACACCTATTTTATCGAGTTTAGGATCAACAAGTTTAACAGTTTATCCAGTTCATGTTTCTGCTAATGGTTCAACTGTATTAGTTGCTTCATCACCAACTTCTCAAGATATTTCTAAATCTTACATTACAACTAATTCATCAATATCATCATCATCATCATCATCATCATCATCATCAGTCTGTTCTACATCATTTGGAAATTATTTAAATTCTGTAGAAACATCCAATTTATCTCCATTATCTATTACATGTAGTTCTAATTTATCTTCAAATTCAATTACTAGTCCTACGCCTATACTTACATCAACGCCTCGTGGTAAGCCTAAATTTAAAGCATTATGGGAGTCTACTCTTTCTAATAATGAACGCATTAATCAATCTATTGTTAATGAATCCTTAACAAATCTTGAACATACAATTCATTCTGTCAATGAATGTACAACTACAAATTCTACATTATCAATCAATTCAATTTCAAGAACGAATCGTACAAATAAACGTCAATCTCCTATGCTTGGAATTAAATCTATTGGTCAAACACCTAAACGTCTTGCTGCAACAGCTGCAACACTTTCACAAGAAAATAAATCAATTTCTTCAGATGGGTGTAAAAAGTTTCTTCTTATTTGCTCTCCATCTAAAAATATTTCAGTAAAGTCACAAAATGAATCAGATTCTGGTATATGTTTGTCGTCTAGTAGTGGTAATCTTTCAGAGTCTGTTTTATCGAAAAATACATCTTCATGCACAGAATTGGATATTATAGAATCTTGTAATTCTACTACTCGTCAATTGATTACTAATATATCAGATGATCGTGTAAAATTACCTAAAAATACAGAACGTAATAATAATATTACATTGAAACAATCCAGTTTATTACACTCTACAGGATCTAACGTTTCGTCTGGCCGCGATTCTTCAGATATCATCGAATCTGACCCTGTTGTTTCCGAAGTTTTTATGGGGAAAACATTCGAAAATGGAAGACGAAGTTTAAAAGAAGAACCGGTAAGCTTCTTGATTTTTTGACTAATTGTAATAAGTTGAGAACCAAACTTTTTTTACATGAAATATTTACATGTGATAGTGATATTGACGAATATATTAACTCATCTGTTTGGCATGACTAACTATTAACCGTTAAGATCTCAGTGCACACCATTTTATACCTGACATTTGGTCGACTATTTAGGTTATTAACAAGTGTGAAGTCCAGCTATGAAGAAGTAGTGCCTATCCATTAGTTTAATCATGGTTGAAATTACACTTTGTTTTTTTTTTAGTTTAAACACGCAAAACAGTGTCATCTGGCTCCTTCTAATGCTCAAACATACATCTTATTAAATTAAATGTATTTTAACGGCTGTAAAATTAGACGAACTTTTTTTATTAAGCATTACTAGCTTTGACATTAGGTATTCTGACTAGTTTTATTCTATAGACACCTTTAATTGTAGACATCTTTCGTTAACTGAATAAATAAATAAATAAATAAATAAATAAATAAACGTCTGTTGTGATTTGAGGAATGCAATATATATATGTATATATATATACCAGGTAATTTACAAATGCACTCAGCGCATAAATAAGATTTCATCTTTTCTTTCATATAAAATGAACGGATTAATAAATGTAGGATTCTTGAAATACATCTTTTTTCTTTTCTAGTCAACACACATTTCAATGACTCAGTGCAAACATTTTTACATTAAATAATTTCTTTGATAAATACCAATTCGATCGTGTTTTTTTGTAATTTTCAATAAAGAATGTTACTTTTTTAAGTGTGAAAATTCAGTAGTTTTTCAATACTCCAATCTAAAATATTGTAACATAAAAAATATCACAGAAAAGAGAAAATAAACATGTCTCTACTAGTTATAATGCTTAGCAATCATCAAACTGGGCAATTACTACAATCATAAGGAAACTCGCTAGAGCAAACTACGTACATTGTCTAGTGCAATCTGGATCAATGATTATTTGGTTCATGTTCATTTTCAGTACGTGTAGCATACCTTTCAGACATTTTAAGCAATAATGATTTACAACCTCATTGATTGATCCTTTCTTTTCAATTTAAAAGTGATTCATTTTGTTCCTATAGTAAAACAGTTTGCTATGTGTTTTCCAATAATCTCAAGATAAAATACATTTTATTCAACGGGTTAGTGTTTTTTAAAATTTCAGAATACATGTTTTGGTTCTGTTCATCTTTGTTTGAGAACCTAAAAAAGATATTCAAGTCACTTATCTTAGAAATATGCGAAATGTATAATTGAGGGCTACCTCAAAGGAAGTAGTAGAGGATTGAAATAATAGCAGTAGCTTTATAAAACATTCTCTTATTGCTTCCTAGTTCTCAACTGGAGTGATGGTGTATTGGTTTAAGCATTTTACTTTCAGTCGGTTATTCTAGTTTGGAAATTTAAATGTCTTCTATAATTTTTTCTCAGATAATCATAGAATTCTTCACCCCAATTATACTGATACCAATAATAATAATAATAATAATAATAATAATAATAATAATAATAATAATAACTTGCTAAATTTAAACTTACTAAACGTTTGATGAAACTGAACCATACTATCCAGTTATCATAACTAAATTAATGGTAATGAAGTGTTCAACCATGTATATTACTTATGTTCTGTGTTGGATTGAAACTTTTCAAATGTTCTCACACGATATCTTCCAAAACTTTGTCAATCAACATTAAGCGTAGAGATTTAGTTCACTCATGTCATGTTCTCTAGACCGATAGAGTAAAACAATGAAGTTTTTCTCGTCAATATTTATCATCTCATTCTTGATGGTTACTTTCACTATTTATCGACCTTTATGTTAAGTCTATCGAATTTATATCTTACATGTATGGTCAATTTTAACTTTTTGGAATTCTCGGTTAGTGATTTTTCTATTTCTTTATATAATAAATTGTTTGAGAGGACTTACCTTATTCAACTGCTAAAACATTATAGTTTCGTTTATATTTTTTTTTCACCTCGGATAGACAGTATATATTACTCTTCACTATATCATATCTACTTGTGTTTGCCTTCATCATGGAACATGATTTTCCCACAGACTGTGTACTATGCAATCAACTATTATAATTATAATCATTGTTATTATTTTATTGAAATGATGGACCGATCAATGTTAAACTACCATTGAAAACTTGGACACCTGTTTCGTCTTAGCATTGGGACTTCTCAGTAGAGGGCATCCGCGATCCCGAATGTGGGCATGGAACCCAGGACCTTCGGTCTCTCACACGAACTCTTAGCCTCTAGACTACTGAATCGTCATCCAACGGCGTTAATGCCTAATTTCAATCAATCCACGGTATTGCTCGACCGTCTTTCATATTCACGTTGTTATTGTCACTATTTATGAATTCACTTTATATTAACTCTACAGGTTCATCTATCTAGTTAGTAAACAAACAAGAAAAATATTGTGACGAGGAATAATTTCATTTGTAGTATAATCTGTTCGAAAGGATCTCTTAACTCTTTTTCTCAACTCCTTTTCTCTTATATCGTTATTATCTTTTCACGATTTCGAATTATATATTTTATCTTCCCTTCTGCACTTCTTCACCGCCATCATTGCTACATTAAATTAAATCAATGAAAATCAATTGTTTAAGTAGCCAGTTAGTTTTCGTTCACTAGTTAATTAATTTGATGGTGATTAAACCTTTCTATGATTGCATTTTAATGAGTAATTTGTTTTACACAAGTAATCAATTATTCTAATATTTTTATAATTCTAATAATGACGTTATAGTGAATCATGATTGTCACAAGTTAGATTCAAGTGTAGAAATTCACTTTAGATATTGAATATTATCTTTGATTGTATCCAGCACGTATTATTCTTAAATTTTATGTCTTGAAGTTGTCAGACGATATCTTATATATACTATGTGGTAGGTATTACATCTATAACTTGGTAGTCTAGACGCATAACTTTCAAACTCGAATCGTCGTTCATCTATCATCAGCGTTACCACACACAGTGGTTATGGCTCATAGTTTAGCATAGGAATCTATATGTGATTAGTACGTTGTGTATGACATTCAGATTCTCAAATGTTTTAGTTACAACCTGTTTCGGTATTATTTTCACTTATGTTCGGCTATTTCACCTATTTATTACACTTAGTTAACTAACGGTTCGTTGATTGAACGTGAATCCGTACAGCAATATACATGTATCCACATGTCCGCAGTGTTTTACATACATTGACTTCCGATATTGAGAGCTTACAGTCCGTTTAAATATTTTGTCTTCAAGGTTTTAACTTTCTGATCAACTAGCAGGCAGGTTCGGTTGGTGTATTTGAAGGTTTCCTGAGTCATCTACTGCATTTGAAAAACTCACACCTAAAATCCTGTTGATTTAAAAAAAAGTGTCTCGTTTGCATTTTTCAAGCGACTGTTGTTGATTGACATCTAGTTTTACTGATTTTCTAGTTGCTTAACTTCAAAGTTCCATCTATACTAATCCATTGGATCCGTATTGTCAGTCATGTGTCCTTCTAGCTTAGAGATAAAGTAGCAAGTAGATTTTAGGACAGGTAGTTCCTTCTTGTTATTGTATGTGGATAATTTACTACGAATTGTAAACTGATGAATCATTTTATCGAACACTCGACAAATATCATACTTCTAACTGATAGGATTGCTTTCTTGTTTTCGGGGAATTGAGATGTAGTGTCCAAACCATCTTAGATTTCATCAGTCAACCTAAGCTTTAGTTGTTAATGTAAGTAAACAATTTGTAAATTCCTGCATATTACCTATTATTCTTTACTGTTCTCCATTATTCTTTCCCGGGCTTTTGAGAAAAGATTTTGCTGTACTGCGGAAAGTGCTGAAGGCCGTTAGCAAGGTGTGTGGTGGATCTTTTGAGGCCATTATTAATATGCTTGTGGATAGCCATCTTAAGTCTTGCAAACTCCTGACAGGTGTTATCTTATCAAATACTTACCATGCACTTCATCCATATCTTTCACCTTGTATATCTTCAAGTAGAACGAGACGTAAATACATTAAAATCCATCCGCGCAAGCGAATCTATAAAAGTTCTGTAATACCTTACCTAGCAAAATATACTCTGTGACGAACAGGTTGTTAGAGTAAACCTAGTAAATAACTTGTATTCTTAAACATGTCTCAAATTTGATAATTTGTACAGACTCGGTTTTATCTCTTCTTTTTCACCTTTTTTGTTTTTTTTGGTAAAGAAAAAAACTTGTTGAAATACCTCGTGCTGAGAATTCTATATTGTACCAGAATATAATATTAAATAAAACCATTAATAATAATAACAATAAAGCTGAGGTATTGCGTGTGCATATTGGACGTCATGTAGTGGCCAGGATGTACTTTCGAGGCCTGAATGGGGCTCGGTAACAACAAACCAGAAGAAAACAAGCTGTTTTTATACCTGGTTGTTGATCTATTGGATAGATTTTTGCCCTTCGCTAATATTTTAGAGCATAGACACACATATCGTCTCCTGACTTCAACTGTATGCCTCAATCTGAATGCAACACTCCGCTCTGCTAATCTGGACGTTTTGTCATGATGCTCATCATTGAAAGATATATCATAAAAGTACATAAACCTTATGAAGTGTCTTTACTCGACCCCAGTGGTCGTGTTAGAGCTTACGGTGAACTGCCATTAGAATTGGGGTCCTTCAGCAGAGTTCGTCAAAACTATTCACTCTCCTCATGTTTATCTAGATTCGTCGTAGATATTATCTAAGAGATAACGGCTTCATCTGACTTTAGGAATTTGTCGCATTCCAAGAGACTCATTCATTGACCGAGAATATGCCGATGGCAGAGTCTTCTTTAGTAAAGACATTGGCAAATCCAGTTTCCTAAACTTCTTGAATAACAATCTGACTGTGTTAGGAAATGTGATCCTCATTCCCAATCTGAAATGTTGCTTTAGGATTGGTCTTTATCACCACGTTTTGT